TGAAAGGTCTGATAAATAGTATTTATATTACAATCATACTACGATAGTTAATTTGTCGAATATTTACATACTAATCATCGTCTAATGCTTAATTTCTAAAAGATCACTCAGTCAATATAATACTATTACCGAGAATCCAGCAGCCATATCATCAGCTTTTTGTAAATTAATAGAAGATGACAAAAGAATTGATGGTTGATGATATCGACAATAAACTAAATCAACTAAAATAAAATTATCAATAACTAATAATTCTGTAATATAACGATAAATCTTAAATTTTATATTTACCTGAATTGGATGATTCTGTTCTTCGGCAAGGTGTATATGGGCAACCAGTTTCAATTGCAGTCATTTCTTCAATGGAAGTATCGACAGCGTTTTTAAAACTACATACTAATCGTCGACATTTTTGATGACCATCTACAATAACACATCGGCTACAATCCGATGGAGAACACTTTATATTTGGAATTGACTTATGTCTTGACCAAAATGTAGTAAATAAATGATACCACCAACCGGAATAACATTCAAAATGATAATTAAGTTCATTTCGATTAAGTGAAACAGGTAAATTTACTATTTGTGTTCTTCCTAACATGAATTCAAAGCGTACAATTTGATATAATAACCAGTGACATTGAAATAATTTTGCCAATTGAATAGGTTGAAGAATAATATTGTTGTTTTGGTGTTCATAATTATATCTATCAATAAGTATTCGAGAAAAAGATTGAAACGGACATTGATCGTGTAAAAGTTGGCATGTATAATCGAAGAAAATCGAATATGTAAATCCAAATGAATCACATAAGTAATATACTTTGAGCATACTATTTAACGATGAATTATTGATCTTTCGCCATCGATATTTTAATGAATACCAAGATGAATGATTATAAACTAGTGAGCACGGTTTACACTCAGCAGTTACAGCTACTGCTCGAATAATCTTAAAACAATCAATAACATGAATTGATTTGTATCGATATGAAGTTAGAGATTTTTTGCAATCAATACAGATGTTGGTGAATGGAAATAAGATCAAGTCATTTAAAACATCCATTGTAATATGATTTATATCAAATTTGATACTATTTCTGTCAAAATCTGACAGTAGCAGTACTCGATTGATAATATCTTTATTTATTTCGATCATGTTTGTCACCATAATAATATCTTCAGTTGTATGATTGCTGCCATAACGATCATTTACTGCTTGTTTTATCAGTTGTGTTCGAGCAGTAGACGGTAAAATTGTTGATCGAAAAGTTGATAATTTAATATATAGTCGACAGATGTAAACTAGAGATACTAAACCAATGGAACAACGAAGTGCTTCAAGAATATCTTCATCATTTGGCATCTAAAATAATAAACAACTTTTAGTAAGTATTCAAAGCTAATCATGAACATTCCTTCGAAAGATCCAATAAACGAAAAGAATGTATATTTGAATCAGCACAATGAACTTTTCAAAACAACATCAGTGGCTCTTACTATCTATCGGATGAAAATGATTGTTTGTCTATGACACATCGGCTTTCACGATGCTTCCGCATCTTAGTCTTAAACATACATCCTTGCTGGTCATATAATCTTTTATAGCACTATACTATAGACTTGCCAAATGCTCGCTTATTCTATGTAACACATAGATTGAATCTTCACTGATTTTATGAGACGTATGCGTAGCGGCTGCACATGTTAGTGTTGAATACAAACAAATATTGTTTTAAAAAACGATCACATTCATTACAGTACTATTAAGAGATTGGGCCTAATGAAAAAATTATCCCTTCTTTACATCTATATTTACCTTGATTGTAGTATCAAAAATGAAGGTAATGTAATTGATTAGCTATTTTGCTTTATATGGATATGTCTTATACTTTGATTGTGTTAATTTGAGAATAGTGTACTTTTCCACGTACTTAATAAGTTGCAATTTACTGTTTAATTTGAATTATTCATTATTTAAATACGCTAGGCTTTAAACATGTTTCTTTTTCATTTTCTTTTCTTTTCTTCTCTTTCCTTTTCTTTCCTTTCTAAATAATTAACACATTTTCATTCGAAAATGACCAATATATTTCGTTTCTCAATAAATATTTTCAGCTATCATAGAAATTAGTTTTAATATTTGAAATAAACTACAATGACCAGAAACTCATTTTTTTGAATAATAATTTCTTTTCATGTCAATGGATTGACTTTCATGACACATTAAACGCTAACGTATTTTACATTCCTTTAAAAAGAAAATATATACAAATAAAGTAGTTACACATCACTAATAAGATCAATGTACTGTTTAAGATTGTTTAAGAAAATCTTTTTTAATACAAATTTCGAGTTTCACTTTCGTTAAATGAGCACTAAAGTAAATTAAAGTAAGATACATAAAAATATATGCAACAAAATTCTCCTCAACCGAACTTTATTGACGCATTATAATGCATTGATACAGGACCACTGTTTTACTCAAAGATTTTTTTTACAAATAATGCATTATAATGCGTTAACACGAAATCATTGTTTCATTTATAGACGTTTTTTGAACAATGCATTATAATGCATTATAATGGAAAGTATTCATGAATTGACATATTATTCAGTAATAATACATAATAATTTATTTGCATCAAATCTGTATTAAATATCGAAGACAAAGAATAATAATAGAAGTATTTTTTAAAAGCTTGACTGTTTTCAAAGCAAAACATGACTTGCATGATATTTGAAAGAACAGGGTAATTTACACAGGTGGAATATTTATTCTAGAATTGGTAAATATTCATAGTACAGTAACTGGAAATGAATGAAACTTTTGTAATAAATTGACAATCTATTAGTAGTATTTTTGTCATTTATGAGTCTGTTTTAATTCGCATGATAAGTAGATTATTTCCGAATCAATATAGAAATTATTCTTTCATCTTTGTACAATTTCTATTGAATCTCTCTATGAAAGTACAAATCAAAAGAAGTTAAACTTCATCAATGGTGTCATTTTGTTTCTTTCTTGATTGTTTCCTTGAAGTGGAAAAGATATTTGACTAAAATGTGGATGTGATTTTCATTCAGCAAATCCTGAATAATGATGAGAGAGCGCGTACGCTAGTTTTTATTCATTACGCACGCCCTTTTTTGCTAAAAAATTCAATTTTTTCTTTGCGAATTATTCGTATCTTTTTTCTATTACATGTCGTATAGTATCATATGGTTCTCGAAGTTGCTTAGAGAATTTATTTACTAATTTATTATATTCTTTTCTAGCTTTTTCTATCTTAACTATTTTTGCTTCTCTCATTAATGTTGTCAGATCTATTTTCATTTTTCATAATCTATTTGTCCATTGTTTTCGAAGTGATTTCAACTGATTATTATCTGATTTAACTTCTTTTGCATGTAATTGTAATTTATCGAAGATGTTAAGCGATAGTGGTGGCATATTTTCAAATAATCTCTTTTCTAATTTATTTAATTGTAATTTTAAGTCTAATGTTCTTTTGTATTTATTTTGTAATGTTTCTACATATTTTTGTTCTGATGTGGTTGCTATCTTTTCAATTTCTATTGTTGCTTGTTTTTTCGTTTGATCATGCTGACGATTTTCTAATCTTTTCTCATGAGTTTTTTTATTATCAAATGCTTTCTCAATAATACTTTTCACTAACTCAACTACTTTTTGTGAAATACCATCTGAAAGAAGTGTTGAAGTGTATAGGGTAGAAATTTTGGACCCACTCCCCCCCCCCCCCTCACAGACCGTGACAGAGAAAATTCATACCCGTCACAGACCGTGACAGAGAACCTTCGGACTCAACACAGACCGTGATAGAGAACCCCGAAGATCATCACAGACCGTCACATAGAATCCCAGAGACCATTACAGACCGTAACAGAGAACCTTCGGACCCATCACAGACCGTGACAGAGAACCTTCGGATCCATCACAGACCGTCACAGACAAGCTTCAGGGATCATCATAGACTGTGAAAGAAGAGTTCAAGGAAGTATCCGAGATAATACATAACTAACATATGATTGGAGCATATATGGAGTATTATCCTGTTTCAGCTCTATAATGTAAACTAAGCCACGATGAAGAAATGTACACCAATATGCATAAAAAAGAACAATTTTTATAAGATTGGCAGCAGCAGGTACATCATGTTTCATATTTTTAATCCCGCAAGGGATTGCGCTATTCATATCTGCTTATCAAATAATGAATAAAGTACCTTTTCTCTGTCATTATGTGATGTTTTACATTGCTTTTCGAGAAAAATTTGATAAGTATTTATCATTTCAAATGCACATCTCTGTCTTTTTTTGTTTAAACCAATATCGATATTCAATAGGATTAATCGAAAAATTATATGTTTTGTTTTCTGCTGTTATATTTGTATTCTTTCGTATAGCTGATGGTGATCTTAGTATTAATTCTGTTGTCGTATTTCTTATTGGTGAAATTTTTATTATAGATGTCTCATTGAAATCTTAAGAAATAAAGTGACTTATAGATCAATATTTGAATTGGTAAGTGGAATAGAAGCGAGTTATGGTTTGATGGAATGATATGTACTAATAGATAAATGTTAATTCTAAGTTTTTTAAATATTATTTTAATTGGCATTAATCTTGCGTATCGATAAATCACGTGTATATTACATGTCAATATTTGATGACAAGTGAGCACGAATTGATGCTATTGAAAGAAAATATTTTCAAAGTTGACTTATGAAATTGTATCTATTTTTTAGTCGGGAAAATTTCATCATGAAAAGAAAAAAAAAGTTTCATAGACATAATAACCTAAACAATGAAGATTTTCCACAAAAACTACTATATTGTTCCTAAATAATGTTTTATTGTTTTTGTTTCTGTGAAGCAAAAACATTGCCTATAGCGTTATGAAGAAAATGTCTTTTACCATGACGTTGATCCGGATGTAGCATTTTAGCATATTCTAAATCAGTAAAATAATTATTTTACTTATAATAATTGTTAGTACAATTACCTCTAATATCAGATTTTTGTTGATTTGACATCCGTGAAATAGACATAGAAGCTTGTATATGAATATCAGAATATAAACATTTTGTAATTGCTCGGCAAGTTCTTCTAATATCAATGTCATGTTTGCATTCTTTTAATTGTTTCTTTGTTAATTTCAAACGACGACGAATTTTTTCTTGTTTTCGTTTACGTTTCGATTTTTTTTCCATTGTTTTAATGGAATTTGTTGAGATAACATCAACTGATTGAGTAAATTTAGAAGAAGCTTGCGCTTCCGAACTCGTAGGTCTATTTAAAAAATTGGTTTTAATATATTAATCAAATGAATAACCTACTTCGGCATCCATTGAGATTTATAAAATTGTATTTGTTTTTTTAATTGATAATTCTCTTTCAATACTTCAGCAAATGATATATAAGAAGAATGGTTATATTCGTTCTCCTTTGAACAACCTATAAAACAATGGATGAATTAAGTTAGCATAGTTCAAGGTCGTTCAAGTAATAAAAAAACGGTGACACATATGAATAAATATAAATTTTTATTCAGTAGCTGAATATCTTTAAACTATAAATTTTCTTAATTCCATTGTTATAGTTATTAATATACATAGAATTATTGGTCCTAAACGTTTCTGAATCATATGCAATTAATAATATCCTTCTTGGACATTGTATAGTTGTTGAAAGATAAAATATTTCATTCTTTTTTCAACAATAGTACCATTATATTTTAATTCAAATCTTTTGATGACCTATTTACATTCTAAATAGAGTCCTACTCTTACGTTCTTCCGAATAATGAGAACGATATAAACTTTCGTTTTTGTTTCGTTCTAAAACTCTACGTTAATAATGAACAACTTTTATCATTACCTAATGAGAATGATGGTATAGAAGAATCTTCATCAGTTAAAGTTTGTAATGGAGACATAGATGTTGATTTATCATGTGAAGCAAGGCTAACCATTGATGATTGTGTAACACCTGGTGGAACATCTAAAATATCAAGTAATATCGTACCCGTCAGAAAGTTAATGAATCAATCACATTAGTACCTACCTTCATTTGGACATGGACATTCATTCGAATTTTCATGAATACAGAGCATATTACTTTTAGAATTCGTACTCAACGAATTTTCTTTTTCGTCAATCTTATCAAATTTTGTTGGTTGACTATTTTCAATGATTGACGAGTCATCGTCTTCACCTGAAAAGCAAAAAAAAACTTGTTTTCAATTTTTTATTTATCCATACTATAAAGTCTTTAGATGTTTAGTGGAAAATTTTGACGAACCTGATGTATCCAAATAATGTTTTCTGACTAAGATCATTCGATGGTGGACCTTTTTAGATGAATGAAGAATTTTATGACCAACTGGCTTCACCAATTTCTCAAATGTTCTTCTTCTTGCCATCATTTTCAAAGGAAAATGTTTATCTAAAAGACACAGGTATACAAAATTATTAACAAAATCAAAATCGATCTCTGAAATATAATATTTTCCAAGAAATATTTCAAGAAAAATACTAATGAACATTGAACAGCAATGCAATGTAATACATGTTTAAAGTTATGCATTTCGTATTGGCGCAAAAAAATGGAGGCCGTGATGTTAATAGATGTCGTAAGAATACCTATTATATTAGTTCTTCATTTAATTGTTCTGATTTTGACATGTAAAAATAATCAAATTAAGTCAGTTGAATTTCCAATTTAATTCATTTATTGTCTTTCGTTACAAACAAAGAATCTCGATTCTCACATATTGTAAATATTAATTCTCATACATACTTCATCTATACACCATAAACAGTACTAAAAACAAATAAATAAGTGCGAGAATTGTGATAAATCAATCTGGTATAATTCCCACACAAAATGTAATAGTCAATTTTTTTCAGAGATAAGACGTATGGTAGGGTATAAATTTAATGAATAGTTTCAGCTGCATCATTTGTTAATATCATATTATTTACAAAGAAAAATAAAAAGAAATATATCAACAATAATAATATGCATGATCATCCATTAATAAACACCGGTACTAGATGTCAAAACATTATTGAATATTAAATCATAATGTTTATATTTATTCTTGAAAAATTTCACAATTTAGATCGAGTTTTTTTTATATATAAATAGTGATGAAGAAAAAAATCGATTCGTACCAAAGTATTAAAGCACAAAAATAATACATAATAATGTAATATTGATTAATCGTTTATTTTTATATTACTTTCATTACCATCACTGTTATCGAATGCTAATACATTTCATTGCAATAAAATTTAAATAAAGAACACTGTCTAAGTCTTAAGCTGGAATTAAGAATCATTTCAGATATAATCGGTAGGAAAAGTCCGAACATTTTCACTATATGGTATTCTCCAACGATGAATAGTGAAGTCGAGAGAACAGTTAATACAATGCCATAAACAGTATTAACGGGAAAATAACCAAATGAGCACACACGGAAGATTTCGGACTTTTTTCGTTCATCAAAGAAGAAACTTTTTCTACAACTAATAGGAGAAAAAAATAATCATAATCTCACATCTATTTTCTTATAATCAAAAGATTGATCATAAAGTATTGGTTTAATAATACGTGATTTACATTGATGATTAGATGACAAATTCGTCATAGTTTTGCTCTATTCAATGAATGACAATACATTTTCTAAATGAATGACCCAAACATTATGATAAGATATAGAAAGAAGACAGATTTGCTTACATGTATCCATACTTACTCATTTGGTACGATAATTCGAGAGGCCTTGTGTTATATAATATTAATTATTTCCTTTTTCCTCTCCTGACTCTCTAATTATTTTTCTTCTTCTTCCATTCATATCAACATTTTTTTGTTTTTTTCTTTCTTCCTTTCTTTTATTAAAAATAAAATAAAAAGTACAAAACTACAAAATTGTTCCAATTCAATATTATTTCATATTGATTTGCTTAATTTATGTAATTCTGTTCCCGTGTATTAATCATTGAAAATACATTAAAATGCATTAAAATACATTAAAATGCATTAAGATGCATTAAAATACATTAAAATGCATTAAATCGCATTAAAATGCGTTGAAATGCATTATTTCATATTGAAACGTATTTGAGCATAAAGTATATTGAAAAGCATTGTATCGCATTGGAACAAATTTGAAAATATTAAAATACATTGAAATACATCATGTCACATTGGAACATTTTTAAAATACATGAAAATTCAACATATCACATAAAAACATATGTGAAAACGAAAAATTGCAATATATCACATTAAAATACATTATAGTAAAAGATGTAAAAAATTAGAACAAGTGGTAAAAAAAATTATAAACTCGTTTGACAAGATAATTATTGTTTCCTGTTGACTTGCTTAATTTATGCAATTGGACAATCGACACAAAAAAAGGATATCGTTATTTATTATATTTTTCTTTTTTCTGAATTATTAGAAATTAGAGAATATACAGTTATTAAAAGATTTGTGATAGCGTCTAAACTTTTAACAGTCTTATGAATATATCAACGAACGTTAATTTCTTTCTTCACGTACTCTTATCTTAATTACAGACAATGAACAACTGATATGTGTACGGACATGTTGTTTTTATTCATCCTTGTTCTTGTCGTTACACATACGAGAAGGACGTTCATTTTCTTTTCGTTCTGTTCGTTATATTCAAACATAAATGACTATCACGATACCATAAGTGTAAAGACAGTCAACTTGATATAGTTCGATCATCAGTAAGAAGATGATTTTTGTAAAAGCTTTTCATAATACATTACTATGGCAAATATTGCATTATTTTGAGTTTAAAAAACAACATGCGTATATATTGCTAACGCAGACAGTAGATATTGTGTTTGTTTCTTTTTTAGATTTCTAAAATTCTGAACTTTAAATAAAAACAATAATAAAATTCGAGAAAAACAAAGTTAGATAATCAAAAACATAACCAAATAAAATACTGCAAACGTAAAAGTTATCTATTGGTGTTAAGTTTAAACAGCAAGTAAGTAATGCAAAATTCTAATGGCAAATTTTACTGTATGTTTTTTAGATCTGCTCTTGGGCTAATTAGTTCTACGTTTATTACGGTGAATTTGCTGATATTTTTATAATGTTTGGTCAATTAAATTCTTATTGAAAGTGAGTATTAGAGTTTTTAATACCGTTCGAATAACGTTTTTATAAATAACTTTGTATTACGCTGTGCACTCTGAGATAAACAGCTAGTACGGAGATGTATTTAATGTGATATTTTTCTTTGTTATCAGATTATCATATATGAATGATGAATATATATTTGTTGTTTTTAGGTATGCCATCTATTAAATATGATCCATATGCAGCTCAAATCAGTTCGAATATTTTCAAACTGACGAATGCCGCACCAATGCCATTTGAAATCCAATCAATTTTTGGTTTATTCAATCAAGCAGCACTACTTCGTTTTTTCGAACAACATCAAGCATTAGGAGTTGATATTGCTCCATTCGCATTTGGTATGCTGGTACATGCAGCTATGATGCTTGATGGGGTGGAACTTTTGAATCCTGATGGTACTGGCTTTGTCACATCCATGAATTTATTTATTCATTTGATTGGCGAACCTGGTGAGTTTGTTTAGGTTTTTTTTCATGCATTATTTAATTATTATTCGTTTATTCAGGTACCAATAAATCCGGATTATTTAGAGTCTTCAACAATAGCATCAATGCATTACAAAAAATATATCCTTCTTTTTTTTCGAAACCTTTTGTGGAGGTTATAAATGGAAAAGAAAAATTAACTACAATTGATTTAATAGCAAATAATGAAACAGAACTATCATTATTTCAACGACTTTCAAAACGAGTAAGTTATAAGTGTCTCATTTTATTAGTGTAAAATTGCAAAGGAAACTCCTAGGATCTATCTGGGGATAATTATTCCTCTATGCGAACAAGATATTAACTTCATAGACAATTTATATCTAAATTTTCAACTTTCTTATTGTAGGAGAATGTATTTATTTCAAGTGATGAACTTGATGTTATTAATACTCGATTTGGAGTTTATCTAGCTGGTTCGAAGGACAATGATATGAAAACATTTGGTTCTAAACTTTTATGTCAAGGTTATGATACTATAAAGAATGTTTCTCGTACAACTGGATCTTCATCATTTTTTATTCAACGTGGCTCCATCAATATTTTCGGAGCATCAACAGGAAACATGTTATCATCTATATGTCAACAATATAACAGTGATATTATGTCCGATGGTACCATCAGCCGATATTTATTTATCACAACTTCCATCCAAAAAACTTCAAATGATTTACCATCTGAAATTCTATCTGTACAACCAAACATCGTACATATTTTAATCGTACTTCGTCTATTGGCACAATACAAGCCAATTTTTGTATTTGGTCAACATCAATCTCCAATTAATTTACAGAAATTAAGTAAGTTTCTATATTATTTGTGTGTCATCTAATGATTAAATGAGCAGCAAACAAGAGTTCAATCTAAAAATCTCAACAAGTTTAAGGAAATAGTTTTATATCTTTCTTATGTTACTATTATGATTCGTAAGGTGAGATCCGATAGTGACAGTGAATCATCGATCTGTGAAATCCTTTGTGTCATCGAATCTGTCGCATATCATCACTGTTCCATTTATATATGAAAGAGTTGGAGTTTGACCTTGTTTTTCATTATTTTTTTATTCCACATCCATATTTCTTCTTTTTGCTTTTTCTAGTTATTGTTCCACCGGATATAGAAGAAGCAAGAAAAAATATCTTAAATCCAATTCCAACAACTGAACCAATATCGAATTTAAAGCCAAGTGTGGTTGTTGACATTAAAGAAGCTGATGTGGAACAAGATGGATCAATAATATCTGCTTACAGTGCTATTCGTCGTGTTATTGAAGCTGAACATCAAAAATCATTACAACGTGATGCCAAGGGAAAACCAATTTATACACCTTTACAGCGAGCATTCCAGCGAAAGAGTAGCAACAAATTAGCTCGTTTAGCTGGATTATGTCAAGCAATGTCGTATGCCATTCGATTATGTTCTGAATGTATTAATATAGTTCGATTTGGTGATGGTCTTTATCTCAAAGAATATATTGATGATGAACAAATTAATTGGTTAATGAAATTCCATGATAATGTCAAAGTACTTATTGAACGAGATATTTCAATGGCTCCAAAATATGGAAGTGATCAGCGTCCATTATTTGTTATTGAAAAGCCAGCTGTACATGCTTCAAACATGTTGTATCAATATAATTCATCTACTATTTCGGTTCTTTTCGATGGTACAGCAATAAATAACAATGAAACAACGAAAAATGACAATAACATTTTGATTAATAATGAATTATCAAACGAGTAAGTCGTATTATATTTTTCTTTGAGAATGCTGATTTAGGTTTCATATATTGTGATACTAATGTAGTGAGTAGTATGGTTCTGTAGCCACTTCAAAAATTGTTTACGAATAGTGATAGTGACATTCATTACTCTATAGTTTAGCCTTTCAACCTAAATTGGTTCTATCTAAATTGACTTTTACGGTACTTCTGTACTTTAGAAACATTTTAGTAAGACTCAGTTCGTTTTCAGTATAATTTGTTATAGAGTATTAAGAGAACTGAAATGGATATTGCTCGCTGTTTAATATTTTATTCATTCATGTTTTGTCTAATATACTAATGCGCACTCTTTTTCCAATAATATTAGTTTAATCATATTTTTTTTGTAAGAAATATCTAATCGAAACTCATTTTATTCCAGTGCTTTTTATGAACATCAATCCATATTGCTCAAAATGACATCACCTATTCTTATTAAAGCTTGGTTCAGTAATGAAATAACTGGCCTTCCATTCACCAAAATATTCATCAATTATCGAAGATCGAAGAACAAAATGTCAAAACTTATTCAAGCTGTTGATGAATTAGTTCAATTTGGTATTCTTAAAAAAGGTGCTAAAGATAATCGGCACGTTGTTGCTGCACGAAAAGAAACTTATTTAAAAACATCACCAGCTACTATTCGTGGTAATACCGACATGTTTGATTATCTTCAATCAATTGGCGTCGACATCGATACTTATGAACATGTATATCTTTCGTCACCATTACCAATGAACATGGAATTAACTACATTTGCAGTTAATTTGATTATATCCGACGATGATTATCTTGAATACTGCCATTTATTTAATGATGTTCGTATACAAAATGAAATGGAAGAACGATTATCAAAACATATGATCCAACACAAAATTTCATTTGGTCGCAAGCAATATTATATGCCATCATTATCTCAAGTTGTTGAACAAGGTAAAGCTAGACTTTTTTCAAACAAATAAAGTTGCTATTTAATTGAATTATTTTTGACAAATAGATAATCTGAATATTGACAACAGTCAAGAGTATGATGGCGATCAAACTCTAACTAATAATAATGATAACAATGAGAATAACAATGGTGATAATCATAGTGATAATAATAATAATGATCTATTATCGACTTTACTTTTTATACCACACCGATCAATTAATAATCCATCACCAAACACGATATCATCCCGTTCTGAAAACTCTTCTCTTTCATCTGAAATATTGAATACAAATAATACTATTGAACCACAAAACAACAACTTTATCGATCAAACAACTGAATCTGATAATCACCTTCGAAACGAGCTTTTACCATTAGTTGATGATATTATGAAGCAACTAACAAACATGCTTGATTATGATCCATTAAATATTGAACAGTCAGGTAAGTCTACTTTGTAAACTTTAATATTTTATTTGAACAGTATATTGGTACATGCCTTTCAGGTTCAACATCTAATATGACGGAAAATATTCTTGACAATCCAACGTCTTCTTATCGAAATGAATCAAAAACAAATAATCATAAACAAAATCAAAGTAAGATAGCGGTTTTATATTTGAGTAAATGAAAAATTCTTTCGTTATGTTTAGATCGGTCAGTATTGGCCAATATTGAATTATTATCTAATAGTAATAATAACAATAACAACAACACTGTTTTATCAACCGAAACAACATCAAATGATACGGTCACGTTTTTAGAAAATATGAGCTCTCAAGAAACATTGAAATTAATTTCTGGTTTGCTTCAAAATAAAAAACATTTATTAAAACGAATATTGGACGAAGAGGATAATGATTTTACCACAAAACGATCAAGAAATAATGAAAATGAAGAAATAACATCACCATTTTTCGACATGAATTTAAGTGGACCACTTTCATCGACACCTGCTCGAACGGAATCGAACACTATCATCGGTAAGTTGTAATTCATTTATTTTCAAGAAACTTTGAAACAATGAACTATACATAATAATAAATACCGTTATATTTTGAATGATGTTAGTTCTGAATTACTGGCATTTTTTATTTAATGGATTGTTTATCATTTTTCTAGGTGATAATGAAATTGTTGATGAAGATCTTCAAGAAGCGTACCAAAAAATAATCTTAAATGATGCTATTGTTATGTCACAATCGGATATTTGCAGTAAACTTAAACACATTAAAAACATATCAAAATCACGTGATAATATTATTTCAAAATTAGTTACCGATGGATTATTAATTAAAGGCAATTGGTTTGCAATGAAAAAAGTGAATGGTAGTATTGATTTTCTGCCGGGATTTTTAAAAGCATTTCCGAAAAATAATCCACAAGATCAACTTGATTTTGCTCGTTTGTTAGCAAAATATAAAATACATTATAGTGATTATAAAGAATCATTTAAGAAAAATAAGACCGATACTTTTCCTCGTACACTTACTGCTGCCGATGTCAAACACAAAACATGGTTATTTTCAAATGTGTTAATTGATTTTATTGGAAAAAATAATTTTCTTAACGAACGAATAGTACTTGATCCATCGGCAATCATTCAAGAAAATAATAGTAGGTAATATTTTTATTTACTTCATCAATTTTTAAAATTTCTCTCTTCTTTATAGCTCCACCTATGCCTATGAAACGTAATCGAAAAACAAAACAACGTTATTCACCATCGGACAACAAAAAATGATTTTATTATTGATTGATTCCATGTACATGTGTAGTCTTCTTTTTTCATTATTACAACGATTGTACACTAGTTTTCTTCATTTCGTGTGATATATGAAATATATGTTCCAATTGTGAAGTAATTTTTTTGTGTAAAATTCTTCTACTGCTGTTTTCTGAATCTGATGTTTTTTAACTGTTTTTCTTTACTATCGGTAATATTTGTAAAACGACACTCGTAGCTTTTGTTTAGTGTATCTTTTATTTTTGAATTTTTCTTCTTTTTCTCTCATACATTGGTATGATTATTTTGTATTCATTTGTTTTATGTACTAGACTACCTCTTTTACTTGATGGAACTCTGAAAAATGTGTGATAAATTCGTATTTGAAAATTGAAGTGCTGCACAAATAAATTAAAATAAAATAATATTTTTTCGAAAGCTTCATTTCTTGGCATTATTGTTCATGTAACTGATTGTGATGCAAAGATGCGCGTCAGTCTAGGAGTCAACTCAATCTGTATTATGATTACAATAAACGTATCGGTCATACTGGGCTAACCAGCGTAAACTTGACAGTGCAAATGAAGACAAAAACTTAATTTAAGTTTATTCTCATGTTAACATAGAAGAAACTTGATCAAATGTTCCATTATTTAATCTAACTGTGCTAAGATGAGGATTTTGAATAAATACTGATTTGTTTTTAATCAATATTGTTCCATAGTATTTAGGTACCTCTTGTTGATCCATCGGTGAATTACAAATCGATGGATCTTATATTAATAATCATTTTCATTTTATTCTTGCACATGATCCATGATCAGTAGTACCTGTGTTTAATGCATTATTATTGCATGATAAACAACAAAACCTATATAGCCGGCTGTTATATTATTATGCGTTTATTGTCATTATAATGCATTATCATGCATTATAATGATGATAATTGCATGGTAATGTAACAATCGACATGAGAATTATTATTTGGAAAATAAACAAACTCATGAATAATTGAATAAGGGTATTAGTATAGTATGAGCACTAACTAGATGGAAAGGAAATCCGGTGATTAACTAAATGCAGAAGTGATAGACAATAGTTCTTGTTTCAGAACAATGTCACATAACGAATCAGCTGCACAATTTTATGAATTACGATGTTATTTATCAAATCCAACACATGTAATGAGAAACATTTCGTACACTACTGCATCAAGAACAAGAAGGATATGTTTACAATCAGATGCTCCTTAGAATCCATTAAATCAAATTAAAGTAATGGTTTTACTAAAAAATCTCCACGAATATGAATCGAACAACAAATGAGTAGCTTTTACAACGATCTAGCCGCAAACTAACGTTTAACATATTCTTACGCAAAGTACATGAAACGTATAGACATCAATTATTTCATCCGTAGTGAAAGGATACTATTCGAAAACCAAAATAATATTTTTTTTTGACAAATCATTGAAGCTACATGGATAAAAGATAGGAATAATCTCAAATTTCTAAAAGATCATTCTTACATTTATCAGAGTAATTAAACATAGAGAAGCATTGTTACCTGTAAAAGCAAAATTTAAATTTTGAATATTCCAAATCTGAAATCCCCAAACATTGCACAATTCAGTTGCTAGTATTTCACGCACTAAACAATACCACGTTTAAAGCATATAAGGATCTAGTTACAGTATATGGAATACATCAGAGTCGGCCTTACTATGTGTTTTAATTCTTAGACTCATTTTGATCTTGCTTTGCGTACCTGTCTCTTTCGACATTGAAAATAACTAGAATTGCCGATTGATTTTCTACTTCCAACTCCACCCTGCAAAGTAAAGTGTATAGTTACATATAATTCATCTATGAATTTAATGCAACTACCATAACACGTATTAAAAAATATAATCTTTTATGTATAAATCCATAATATAACACGCCACTCACTGTGTACACAGAGACGCCTATGGATCGCGGCTCTTCGGGGGGGGGGGCGCTTTGTGCCCCCACGCCGCGATGCCGAAATAAAAGAAGTATTTTTCGTAGGCATATGTTTTCTCCTTGTTTAAGTCACATAGCTAAAATCATAAACTCATTCGTTTCATCTGGACAACGAACAGAATCTGTGTAACGCATCACACGCATGGTTAACCACAATCAATGTTTGTATTCGATATTAATTTATATTTGAATTCCAATTACGCATCTTATTAACTATGAATTTGATCTTTACCTTTCCTGTCGAATTAGTGCACGAATGCTATATAGTTTTCGGCTTAGTTTTTAATTGACACTATTTATTAAGTACTTATTTAGGCTCGAAGTCAAAAAAGGCAAATCTTGTATCGACATGGCTCTTTAGGCAATTATGACACAACGCTGATCCAAAGCTAAACGTATGCTCTTCCTTCGTCGGGAACGAATCCACAAATGTAAACCATGGGCAAAAGTAGATACGATAGGTAGAATAGTCTAAGAAAAAATCTCTATAAGCGAAATATGATGTCCAATTATATCCATTATGTCCATTATGTCCATTATGGCAGTCAAACCTAAAGTCCATAATGGCGATTATGTCCATTAAGTCCATTATGGCAGTCAAATCTA